AATATTAATTGAGCATCATTAAGGTAAGGTTGTTTAAGCTAACTAAAGTACCACATTGTACACATCCAAGAACCCTAGAGGATGGTTGTCTGTTTTGTTGATCTCCTTCCTGAACAGGATTTTAAACAAAGATGAATAAAACTATAAGTAGATTTTACTTGCCTTAAACTATCTGCTAAAATATTCATCATCTTCATTAAAATGCTGTAACATTTTGTGAGACTTACAATTCAAATAATTAAAGTGCATGGAAGTTTGCAACAAATACTGAAGTTTGTCTCCACTGATTTCATTATTTCAATGAATTATTTTGGAAATATTTATTTTACTTCAACATAAATGTCATGCTTTCAAATAATATAGAGACTTTATTTTCAATCTTTTAAAAGAAATATTCCTTCTGTAACTATTCTTGTTTAAGGACCTAGATAAAGAGCTTTTAATTAATAACACACAATAACATGAAAATTCTGGTACTATTTCCTCTCATTTTCCACTGATCATTCATATGAGGTTCCTGGAAAGAAATCTTTCATAGCAGAATAGGCAGTAGGTAAATACATAATTTAATGGGACACGGTGCTCAGTGTCTAAGATGTTGAGCTTGTCGATAGAAAGTTCGACAGTTCAGCAGTTCGAATCCCTAGTGCCGTGTAATGGGGTGAGCTCCCATTACTTGTCCCAGTTTCTTCCAATCTAGCAGTTCGAAAGCACGTAAAAAATGCTAGTAGAAAAATAGGGACCACCTTTGGTGGGAAGATAACAGCGTTCCGTGCAGCTTTGGCATTGAGGCATGCTGGCTACATGACCACGGAGACGTCTTCGGACAGCGCTGGCTCTTCGGCTTTGAAATGGAGATGAGCACTGCCCCCTAGAGTCAGGAACAATTAGCACATATGTGCGAGGGGAACCTTTACCTTTACCTTTAAATACATAATTTAGCCTAGTAGGTAGAATATGATATTTAGTAACCTGTTCTGAATATGTAATACATATAGTTCTTCATTGTTCATAGAGGGAAAAAAGCTTAGATTTCATCAAATTTAACCTCCATAAGTACAGCACCCACTAGAGTGTCTTTGATAGTTGATCATCCAGCCTCTGTTCAAAGACCTCCAGAGAAAAACTCACCACTTTATATGGCAACTGTTCTACTGGTTAAGAGCCTATATAACCAGAAAGTTCTTCCTGATGTCTAATTTGACCCACTGTTCCTGGTTCTTCTTTCTGCAATGGTAGAGATTAATGACAAGAACTTTTATGTGTCATCATTTAAGATACAGGTAGTCCTCAACTTACAACAGTTGGTTTAGTGACTGTTCAAAGTTACAAGGGCACTGAAAACAGCGATTTATCACTATTTTCACACTTATGACCATTGCACATCCCCATGGACATGTGATCAAAATTCAGACACTTGGCAAATTACTCATATTTATGATAGTTGCAGTGTCCCGGGGTCATGTGATCCCCTTTTGCAACCTTCTGGCAAGCAAAATCAATGGGGAAGCAAGATTCACTTAACTGTGTTACTAACTTAACAACTTCAGTGATTCAGTGACACAACTGTGTCAAGAAAGACTGAAAATGGGGCAAAACAAATGTCTCACTTAGCAAAATAAATTTTGGACTCAATTGTGGTTGTAAGTTGAGGATTACCTGTATTTGAAAACTGCTATCAAGTGTCTTCTCAGCTTTTTGACAATTCCTCAAAATAACTTCAACTGATACTGAGAAAACACAACAGCTAATTGCTGATTTTTGGGTAGTGAAAAAAACACAGGGAGGCATCCTTAGGATTCTATGGGCTTCACCAAGTGTAGCTGAGACCACATGCATAGATGGTAGATTGCTTATGTCTGATAGTATTAGACTTTGAAACAATGATTTCTTATATCTGCCTCAATATTGTATTATTGTCATACTAATTATCTTAAGTGGTTGTTTTTATGTCACCCAGTATTACAAACCCAGGAGAAGTGACTTCTTTTTCATCATATATATATAATAAAGTTATGAACTATCAGAAGGAAGAATAGATAATTTATATATTTTTGAAAACAGGAATGTAAGATGAGTGAACTTTTCATTTGTACATTTTATTCATATATAGCGCCTGTAATTTAATTGCTAGTTATAAATGACCATCTCATGCCCACATAAATTTTAATTGCTGCTGTTTTACTTTCAAGCCTTAAACAGAATAGTTTTAACATAATTCTTGAAAATATGAGTGCATAATTGTTAACAAGTTATTAGCGTGTAGAAAACAACTGATACCTATTTACTTTATCTGAATTTATATCCTTTAAAATGCAAAAACTACAACAGTAAAATATAACAGTTTGGTATGAAATACATGTAACTACCAAATAATATCTGCAAATAGCAGGGCTCACCAGATGTTGGGTAGTTAAAAATGTAATGAATTGATAGTAAATCTCAGTATGTCATTATTGTATGGGCTCAATGAGTTAGTTTTTCAAACAGAGCTAATGTGACTCAGTCTTGTTCTGTCATGAAACTTTAATATATGGGTGCAATTTTCATTCAGGATACTTCTAAACCAAGAACATATTGCTCTATATTGATAATCTCACCCCAGAATAGGTAATAAGAATGAAACACCTTCCTATTTAAGATGCCAAAATGCGAGTTTTGTATTGATCTTTCGTTAGTGTCTTCTCCTAGCACATTTCTTTCTTTCTTTTTATTAAAATCCAATTACTTTGAATAATTGACAGCTATATTAAGTTCATAACTAAGCTGGTTTCTTTCTGCTTTCCCCAAGAAATAAAACAGTTTCCTGTAAAACACTTCTTTGCGTGTAATTGCTTTTGAAAATAATCAAAATACTGTTTCTTTATATATAACAATATATATAAAATGTTTTTCTATCGAGACACCTGGTCTACCCCAGCATGTGGGAGGGAGCATATTGCATCCCTTTCGCCTTTCAGCTCCAATCCAGGAGCCCTCAAGCATTCGCATTCACAACAAACCATTTTATATCAAATTCATATTTCATTGATAAAGATATATATATATATATATATATATATATCTTTAATAATATATTATAATATATATATATTACTGTTCTCCAATATTCTGCCAGTATTCTAAGTATTAATGGTGGATAAGCAGTAGAAGGTCCATGCATGACTATGAATAGTTATTGACTATTGACTATTTTGTTTCTTTTGACAAAAATTGAGTACATTTATGAAAGGGAGAAAGCACTGATATCAGATTCTTTTACCAAAAAGTGTCTTCCAAATCTAAGTATACTAAAATGCTTTATTCTTAATCATTATGTCTGATGAATTGTTTGACAAGCCTGGGCTGGAAATGGAACTGCAGGCTTTAGATCAGGGGTATCAAACTCAAGGCCTGCAGGCCGGATCTGGTCCATGGGATGCTTAGATCTGGCCCATGGGGCCACCCTGAAAACAGCAAAGGACTGGCCCGTGGTGCCTCTGCCACAGAAAATGGAGCTCAAGGGGCTGCATGACCTCCGTTTTTGCTGGCAGAGGGCTGCAGAGGGCAAGCAAAACAAACTAAAAACAAAACAAAAGGGGAAATGTTTCCTCTTTTGCATTTGAGCATGCAAGAAGAGACAGGAAAGGAGAAAGGGAAAGAGGAAAGAAAAAGAAGGAAAGATGTGAAGACAGTAAAAGAAAAATAAGGAAAGAGGGGAAGGAAGAAGAAAGAATGGAGAGGGATGGAAAGAGGGAAAGAAGGAAGAAGGAGAATGAAGAGGGAAGGGAAAAGAAGGGAAGGAAGGAAGGAAGATGATTATAATGAAAGTGAGGGAAGGTCTGAGGGAAGACCTGCCTTAGCACTTGACCACCACAAGTGCTCCCGAGTGACGTCGAGCTGGCCATGCCCACCCAGGCCACGCCCAACCCAGCCCCCGAGATCAAATACAATGCTGATGCGGCCTCCAATGAAATCAAGTTTGACACCCCTGCTTTAGATCAACAATGTGATTGCATACATGGCATATATCAATCTCTTTAAGTAATGAAGTCCTTCCTCTTAATAGAAGTGAACTGTCACTATCAATAAGTATCTGATTTTAAGGATGCAGGTCTTGTGATGGAGTGTCTTAGAATCACAGAATTGGAAAGGACCTAAAGGATCATCAAATCAAACCCTCTGCATACTGTAATGCTGGACTCATTACACCATTTCTAATAGATGATTATCCAGCCTATGTTTGAAAATTTCCAGTAAAATGGAAGACACCACTGTAAACCTTAACATAACAACAAGTTTGAGCCTTTCACTTTTAGTAGACTTTTAGAAGCTTTATTGTTTGGAAACATGGATCAAGACATTAATAATTAAATAGCCTATTTATATCTTTTTTGCCTGTGCTTCTTAATTTTCAGTTTAAAATCTTAATAGCCATCGTCATATAATTTTGGAATGAAGATTTTATCATCATGAAACTTTACTATGTCCACCTAGTCTCCCAAGAACTGACCATGACTCAAAGGCATCTTTACCATAACATGATGGCAGAGATAATTTTTACCTAAAATCTGAATTTCCAAATGGAACAGCATCTTATATTGCAGAGAACAATTTATATCAGCACATAGATAAATATTATTTTCCATGTAATGTAGAAAGTTATGAAATAGTTGACTATTATAATATACATGTTTGTGAAATGTGAAGTTCTCAGAAGATTTAGGTATATATCAGTTCAAAAGTACAAGCAATGTACGTAAATATAATCTAAAAGTGATTAATAAAATATCCTTCAATTTTTTTCTAAATAAGAGTACTTTGTTTGAAGCCATGAAGTATTGACGTTCATCATTCTGAGAAAATGATTATGATAATGTACAACTCAATGGAAAAAAATCTCATAAATCCAATGGATATCTCTGTAAACTTTTCTCGTAAAAAGGAATGTATAAATAATGATCTTTAATTCCACTCTTGATCCTACTACAAATGTATGAGCATGTTTTGTTTCATTACAGGAGAAGCAGAGGTTTCTGACTGATGTCCTACATGAAGTCATGTTACTTGATGGCCTAACAAGTTCACATCCAGTGTCACAAGACGTGCAGCAGGCCACAGATATTGATCGAGTCTTTGACTGGATTGCCTATAAAAAGGTGGGAACAGAAGAAAGGATACAAGTTGTATATTTGTGGCATTTATTTTAATGTTTCTTCTTGTTCTGCTGTTAGTTAATTATTTCCTCTTCCTCCTCTATGTTCTACTAATACCAGTGATGGGATTCAGCCAGTTCGCACCACTTTGGGAGAACTGGTTGTTAACTTTCTGAGCAGTTTGGCAAAGTGGTTGTTGAAAGAAATCATTAGGGCAGAAAACCGGTTGTTAAATTACTTGAATCCCACCACTGACTAACACCCCATTCTACTTTGATCAAAATTGCAATGAAAGAAATTCCAGGCAGAGATTACAGAAAGTTTCCTCTGAGGCTCTTGAAAATAACATTATATTACAAAGCAGTTCAGTTGAAAATAGTCATGAATACTGAAATGACCTGAATAATATAAATCACTCCAGGTTTAATTAGAGACCCATTTGCTTTTAGTATTCAGATTAATGTGCATTTGTATCTACAGTTAGTTATCAGTGCAACATACTTTACAATAATTATAGCTAGTCAAATTAAGAATTGTCATTCCTAACTGAAGGTTCAAGCACAATCATTTTAACTTACCACTTTCTGAGCCCTATGAAAAAAATCATTTCTACCTCAAGGTCAGAAAGTTTCTGTTCTTTATACTCTTAATTAAAATCTTTCAACCAATTAATAAGTAGAGTTTTAGTTAGGAAAAATATTCCCACTTTGGCTTTATGAGAAACCATTCAAAACCACCCAGACTACAAAATATCAAACTGGCAGATGACTACAAAAATGTATGGCAAATAAAACACACACACATAAATACATACAAACAATACAATACATTAGCACAGGATTAAATATACCATATATTTTAAAAAGAAACAGTTTCCTTAGTGAAAATTCCAATAATGCATAGTAAAAGGGGCAATTTATTTTATGGTTGATTATTATTAAAACTAATTTCAGCATTCATGACTTGGATGTCCCAGGAGAATCTGGTGGTGGCCCGCAGTTTCCTGAGATAAGAATGGTTTAAACTCATATGTTCAACTTTCCTATAGGAGTGCCTATACTATGAAATAGCCTTTCCTGAGAAAGTTGGGTTTCCATGAACATTTAAAAACTAAATTATTTTTGAGAGTTTTTTGAAACCTGAGCAAGATGTTGTCTTATTATAATTGAAGGATTTGATTTTGGCAGTTTACTTTTTTCCACTGTGGATATTTTATTGTACTTCTTTATGTATGTGAACGGCTGGGATACTTGTGTGATTGTACGAATATAATAAATAACAACGTGGATAGTTAATTTAAGAAATTAATTTAACTAATTTAAGAAAGAATGGAATTGAATGGAAGAATAGAATAGAATATTAATTGATTAGTCATGCAACCATATCAATAAAAGAAAAATAAAATACATAATAAAATAAAATAAAATACATAATATGATTCCAGGATAAAATACAATGATAAAATACATATGTGGTAATATGAGGAGTCAGCAATCAGATGAGTAAATCTTCTTTGCCGGGTATCCTAGTTTGTTTGATGTATCAGATTCTTAGTTCAACTGTCTTAATTAAAAACTTAGCAATAAGTTTACAATAGATACATTAGAGCAATTTGTAATTTGGTTCCCATTAAGCTGTTCTTCCCAAAATGTATGATAAGTATCTAAGCTTAAAGGGTACATAATTGACAGTTGAACAAAACATGAGAAATGCTTTCAATAGCTGGGGTACTGCTTATGCAAGTTCTCTCATGATATGGCAAATGGTGGAAGCGCCCATATTTGGCCATAGATTCCAATAACTCAAATCTTCTGTAGAGTAGGCCCTTCTTAAAAATTGTGGCAAACTCATTGACAAATATTTTCAGATTGGAAAATAGTTTTGTTCCTAGCCAACTAACTAAAAGATTTACTTTTAGTCAATAACTTCATATCAGTTTGAGCAGTGATATCTAGGACTCTCTGTTTAAAAATTTCTCTTGCCTGGGAGGCTGTTGAGAGTAAATACTGTGTAGAAAACCCATGTTGTAAGGAAAGAAAAATCCTTGACTCCATAAATCAGGGAAAAGGTACTTTTACTTGAAACATGTTGAATACAACAAGGTCAGGCAAGATCTGAAGCAAAAATGTGAGAAGCACCAAATTGAAACAAACCTTAGAGCCCACCCATCCCCTTGTAGCCAGGCAACCAGAGTTCAACCATTGACCAAGAAGATGTTTTGTGAAAGTCTCTGATTCAAGTGCACTGTTCCTCCCTTCTGCATACTAAAGCTAGGACAGTTGGTCTTTAGGAATGGGAAACAAAATCCAAGCTGACAGTCTCAATGCTTCTTGAAAAATTCCACTTTCACCTCCTACACCCTTCCCCACCAAGTGCCCGTTGCTTCGCCTCCCACTGTTTCCATGGCAGCTGGCAGCAAACTGGCAAGAAAGCGAAGATGCAGGCTGATGTATCTTTCACAACAGTCTTCTCAGGCCTATTTGGGAATCTTCCATTAGGACCATGTCATCAGCATATAATAAGATATTAATAAATTTGACATTGATCTTTTATCTGCAGCATATAGGAATCCTGGGATATTATTGTCATAAAGATTAAAAAGCATTGGGACTAGATATAAGAATGATAGGTTGATTTCTGTGGAGCAGAAATTTTCAAATTTGGGGTTGAAAGTGATTTATTTTCTTCTTCCATTCTTCTTCAGCGGTGAGATGTTACTGTGAAAATTGCATATACCACTGTTGGCGAACCTTTTTGGCACCAAGTGCCGAAATGGGAGTGCGCATACTGCATGCCAGAAACCAGAAGAACAGATGATCTTTGGGTTTCTGGCATGCACATGTGTGGCAGCCATCTGGTCTTCCAGTTTCTGGCCTGCATGCGCACACGAAGATCATCTGGCAGGCGCACCGGAACCCAGAAAAGCAAGAGTCGATGGCTTGTGTGCCTGGAGAGATGGTTCTGTGTACCACTTCTGGCATGCGTGCCATATGTTCGTCATCCCGGGTGTATACCGTTGAAGTATCTACATAGTTTCCGAAGAATACATTTATGGCCGACCTTGAGATGATATAGACTGAAAAGCAGTTTAAGGCTTGTTTTGTTCTATTCTGTTTCCTGTTCTACTTGTACCAGGAGGGAGATGCTGAAAACTGACATATCATACTACTTCCTACCACTTACTTTTTAAAACATTCCTGTTTTTGGAAGAAAAAGTTAGTGAAGAGCACTAGAAAAATCGTATAACATGTCTAAGCCTGTTAGCGACATAATATAATTTAATATTTGGGAGTCCTAAACCCCCCTTTTTTTGGCTTAGATACCACTTATTTTTATTTATCCTCACTTTCTTATTCCCATTACAATAGTTGTTCAGTATATTCTGCCAACTCTTTAACTCTAATTCTGATATTTTTATTGGTAGCATCCTAAAAGCAAAATTGATCTTTGCTAAAATCTTCATTTTTACTAAAGCAATTCTTCCAAACCATGATAAATTCAACCTTTTATATTTATTCAAATAAATTATTTGAGGCAATTATAGAGGCAATTTTAGGAATAGGAGAATTGGAATGGTTGGAAGATAAATCTAAAAATAAAACCAAATTAGAATGGAAGCTGGAAAATATATTTTTTATGGAAGGTGGAAAGAAATGGGCTGAAAGCATAAGCAATCCTCTCCTGAAGTTTCATTGGCAAATTTGGAGTAAATATAAAGAGAGGTTGCTTCTGAAGAACTCTCCATTATCACCGGTAGTAATCTTGGAAAAGTTCCCAGGGAATTTGAAGAATAAAGTGAATAAAATTTTAAAAGAGAAAAATAAAATGAAACTAAGGGAATGGTTAGGAGGAATGAGGACACGTGGGGAATTGGAAGAGGTTCTAGGAGGTAAACGGTTGTCTTGGTTAAATTACAGCCAAGTGGAACAATGGACTAAAAATTGGATAAGAGAAAATGGAGAGTGTAGAGAGTTAACGAGGTTTGGGGAATTAATTGAAAAAAAATGAAACTCTAAAGGAAGAAAATAAAGGGATAAAAGGCTTAATGAGTGTAATTTATAAAATATTGTTGGAGGAAGAGGAGAGGGAAAATTTAGGAAAGATGGTGTGGGAAACCGATTTGAAGATACAAATAGGGCAACAGAGTTGGGACAGAATTTGGCAATAAAAAGTGTTGAGAAATATGTCAGTAAGAATAAAAGAGAATTATTATAAAATGGTATGGAGGTGGTACTTAACTCCGGTTAGATTAAGCAAAATGAATCAGCACCATTCAGATAACTGTTGGAGAGGTTGTGGGGAAAAAGGAACATATTTACATATGTGGTGGGATTGTAAATGTGTACAAAAATTGTGGAAGATGGTATTTAAGGAGATTGAAGAAATTGTAGGAATAAAGGTAGAAGAGGCACCAAAGATAGCATTACTCTCACTATTGGAAGATATAAACTGTAAAAAAGAGACTAAAGAGTTGATAACAAATTTGTTGACCGCAGCAAGGTTAATGATTTCTAGGAACTGGAAGACACGAGGTGATTATTGTTTGGAAAAATGGTATAAGGAAGTATGGGATATTGCCATAAATGATAAATTGACTTGTAATATTAAAGTAAGGAGGGACATAACGAAAGTAAATGAATTCAATGGAATCTGGAAACAGTTCCTAATATATGTGTTTTCTGGAGGAAGGGGGATACCATCATCAGAAGAAGCTTTAAGATTTTGGAAGCAGGAATGATCCCAAGGGGTGGGGGAGCACTTGTTGATTGTTTGTATTGTGTATATTGTTATATATTATATATTATCATTCATATATGTTATTAATTTTTTTTAATAATAAAAAAAAAGCATAAAAAAAGCACTAGAAAAATCGGTAATTTGTTACTTCAGTATTTCCCAGATAATATGATAGGGTCAGGGCCGGATTTTCCTATAGGCTAACTAGGCTTCAGCCTAGGGCCTCAAGATCAAGAGGGGCCTATACAGTGGTGGGATTCTGGGGG